CGTTATTTTTTTCTTTTAACTAGGACTTTCTTCGGTTACCTCATTCGGAACTCGGTTGACCTAATAAGGGCCCTAAAAAACGAATGGAAATTTCTATTCGGGAGAGTACGTTACCCTTTTGAGGATGATTGTAAGTAAACTTACCAAAAAAGTCAAATAAGTCTCCAAAAATTTCGCACCATACATTTACCGGAAACAGATCTTGAAATTCCGAAGGATGTATGTACGAATTTGAATCGCACCAATAGTGATTATTATTATTCAAAATTCCGTCCCACATGAAACAAAGTCTTTAAACAACTCCCTATGGAAAAAATTAAGCTATGTAGTAAGTACTTCTCATTTGAAACCAGTGTCAAAAATCGCTGTTAAAAATCAGTTTCAAAACTTGTACTTGCTGCAAATGATAAGGATGCAGTAACTGTTTCTTTAAAAATTGACACACTGAGAGGAGCTAACGTTCTCTGCTATCCCGCAAGAACTATTTTGGGGAGTTGTCGAGGATTTTGGCCTTAAAGCAGCGATATGGTTTAAACCCGTAACACATTATCGTTACAACAACTGTTCTATAGTGGCTGACTTACACTAATAACTGATGTTGTATTGTTGAATTAGTTTATTGAACTGCACCAGGTTTAAACGATAAAAGAATAACTAGCTACTACAGGTTGACTGTTAGCATAAACACCCGGAATTAAACTTAATTTAATCTAACAAATAGGCAATACATGAGCAAAAAAANACGATTTTCCTGCTTTTCCATTTTTACGAAAACCACAGAGGCGTCTTGTTCAGCGTGCTGTCAAACCTACACTAGCAAGGAGATCGGGCTGAAACTATAGCTACAAGCTATCCAAGGATGGTACTATAGAATGTCACCTCAAGGTAGGCCTAGTGGCGTCATCTCTTGGTTAGGCCGGAAACTTATCAATCCACCCTCGTATGCAAAGGCTTCGTTTATGGACATAATATGTCTAATTGATTTAGCACTTATATACTCTTTTATTTTAAGTACCACCCAATCAATGTTGTTTATCTGCGGCTTTGGTGAGTAAATAATAATAATTATTATTCGCGTTGAACATGCACCGAACATCTACCTACTCATTAATTGTTTATTATTATGTTAGATTAGACTATAAAATAAATGCATTAAAAATAACACGACTTCTACTTGGGGCTTTCTGTTCTTAATTATTTCACTGATTAATAAAAAATTCCGTATCCACGTATATCGACAGCTCGCTATAGTTTACGTAATAATTACAGGCAGCTATAATTAATGCAAGTTAATATATCGTAAAAGGTAATAACTAAAACAATCACTCCGCAATATAGGTGCAATTAGAGAAAATGTTTTATCTATTAAGTATAGGTACAGTACAATAACATTTTCGAAATAAAAAACATCTCAAAGCGTTTTTTTTCTCTACGATGTTTGATTCGTATATAATTATAAAATGAGATTTGCATCAATTGTTATTAACTGTGCCTATTTTTTGACGTATTCAACATCCAAAGGTTATTTGATTCTCTTCAAAAGTTAATTAGAATTTACCTGGCAAAAAAAATTTTTTTTTTATTTGCGCATTTTTTCATAATTCCTAACCCAAAATTCTGTGCACGTCCCTGAGTCTAGCAAAGACTATTTATAACCTTTGCTAATTCGATTACCAAATTAATATCGACTTACTGAATTAATGAAGTGAAAGTTATAATTAATTTAAATTTGACACGTCGTGATTCATATTTTTTGATTTCATTTTAATAACGCGTTCTAATAACTTGAAAGGCTAAATTAATTTACAATACAAAATAGATACTTATCTACTCAGACATAAAATAAACAAATAAATAGGTAAAGTATCACCTTCAGAGGAGATTCTTTTCCAATTAATTAGGCTAACATTTAATAAATTTTACTACACATGCAAAGAAGTAAATTAAGTTGTTATGTATTGCTGAATGATTTTAATTGCAGTATAGTTACCAATAACAAACGAATTAATAATTTTCGAAATACAATATCTATTAATTTTTTTTGGAGGCTTTTGTGATGAATGAAAACATACATATAATCCGACGGAGAAACTTAACTTTTATGGAAAACAAGGAAAACTGCTTTCAATTTTACTCTAATGAAATGCTCGATATGAAATATTTGCTTTAGGATTTTGTCAATGGTAAAATAGTGAAAAGAAAGACGGTAATTATCCAGAGTTGGGGTTGCAGACCAAAATCGCTCCAAAAATTTTTTCATCGATTTCCGGTCATTCTACATAATAGAATTAGATATTAGAAAGTGGGGGGGGGCAGTTTTTTATGACTTCATAAATAATAATTTCTTGAATGATAGTTTTTCAAAATTGTTCCAATTCTGGATAATTACCTGCATTGATGGAGTCATTGGTTAGGTAAATTTATGACAGATTGGAGTTTACTTAATGCCACTGCCCGCCGGAGACGGGCTGATATGTTAGAGTATTTTATTGAAAAAACCATTAGTACTTTAATTTTCCTAGTACAATATCGGAATTTCATACAATTCCTAAAATTGGGACTCCATACCAAAATCGCTCAGGATTCAATGTTCAATAAAACTAATGGTTTCTGTGAATAAAATATTGTACCATATCAGCCCGCCTCCAGCAAGGACATTAAACTCCAATCTGTCACAAATCTACCTAACCAAACAATGACGACACCAATGCAGGTAATTATTCAGAATTAGGGCAATTTTGAAAATTTATCATTCAAAAAAAATTTTTTTTTATTTATGAAGTCATAAGCAACTGTCTCCCCCGCCTTCTAATATCTATTTCTATTATGTAGAATTACCGGAAATCGATGAAAAAAATTTTTGGAGCGATTTTGGTCTAGAGTCCCAATTTTGGGCAATTACCGAAAAGACTTCCTCCTTAGAATCATATAAATACTTAAGTGCCTCTGTAGGTATTACTTGATAAACAGTTAATCCTATGCATTTGATATTACATATGCAATAACAGCAAAACCAGTTTATGAATTGGAAAAATGGTTACGCACAAATATCAGGATCAAGTGAAATATTATACGAACGAAATTGCGTAAACATTTTTGGGTAAATAGCAGTTTAAGTACCTACCTACCTTCTATACTTATAGAGTATTCGAGTAATTAAAACCAACACATCTGGGTCAGTGAACTCTACATACAATTACACATATCGAATATGTCCAATTTGTTTCAGATTCTATCATACCGCTGTCTTATTAATCAGCATTCAGTCATATACTTAGTGCTATTATTCTAAGAAAATTGAACATTTTTGCTAACATTATTAGTTAACATTTGGCGCTTTTATTTAGTCTTGTATTATTTTTAATAAAATTCGTTACCTGTCTAACTTTTTTTAGGCACCTAGAACCTAGACGATATTATCTAATAATGATAACAATAATCAGATTTGTTTAGTTTTGCAATTAACATTTTCTGAAGTAACTATTCTCCTATTCAATAAATCTGTACTCTATAGGTATAGTATTTTCTGTAATATCCAAGTAACTGTCTCTTTTAAATTCATATGGTTATCTAAATGCTATCGAGATACTTAGAAACGGCCCTTCTTAATGGTTTATTCTACCTCACCTTTTCCATATGAATGAAAGTCATGAATTTAATAGTTATCTCCATTTAAGTATAAATAAAGCAGTGTAATAACAAAAAAAATCTATTAAGAGTAAATGTAAATTAAAATCCTTACTAAATAACATTCGTGCATAAAATTTTGGGAAAAATAGTACAAAATTATTTTTATCTTTGGTAAAGTGCCGTTACCTAGTTTTGTCTACTACCTAGATTCTAAACAGTCAGGTAAACTACCTGACACTACCAAGAATTGACTGAAATTGAACAATTGCAAACGGTATTCAGGACCATTTTCATTATGTTTGCTAAGAAGACAGCAGGTGAGTAACGTGCAAGGCTACTTTCTTCAAGGGTAGGTATACGGGGTAAACAATCAAGTAAGCCATACCCTTATGGAGACAGGTACACTTTAAACAAATACCATCGCGTGAATGTATACTATCTTAGATGGAGCAATACAAAGCAAATCTACTGTATTTACAAACAAAAATTGTTAAGTTAGATAAATCATAAATATGATTAGGAGACTTAATCGAATACATTGACTAAGTACCTAGGTAGGTTATGTTATCTCTATTTTATGAAATGGAATGGGTTAATATTTTTTACTCACTAACCATCAAATGTCGTGGAAACAGATATGTTTCTGAACGATATTTTTTGTCTCGAACAGAAATGCGTTAGGTAAATAAAAACAGGTTCACAACAAGCGATAAACACAACATTGATGGCAAAAAGCTACTGATAAAAATGTCCTAGCTCTACTATAGAGTATAGAATATCATTAAGTTGGAGTTTTTACGGACACGTCATTGTTATTAAAAACGTCTCATTTTAATTACCTATTCAAATATTGCACGATTTTAACACAAAGGTTTTATTAAAACTATATCACGGACACATACGGACACCCACCCACAACTATCGTAAGTAGGTATATAGCACCTATGCATGTATGCATGTACACATGTCAACTATAATTGAGTTGGTACCTACTCGATCTAATCAATATTATAATCAATAAATTTTACCTATTGTTACAGCCAGAACGAAAATTAAAACCAACTTTCAGTTACCTATTTTCTTTTTTTCGATATAATATAACTTCAAGGTTAAATCCAATCAATCTCGAGATTTAATTGCGTAGAATTAACTACAATTACAGCAAAATATAATAACATTCAACAATACTTAATTAAATTCAGTATTAAAATATTGAGTGCCGTACGTAGTCAATTCACTTGATGTTAAAAAGACATCAATTATTCTAATTATTGTTTGATTCAATAAAGTTAGTTTACTTTTTTTTTGGTAACACTGTGTGGTTCGCATATTTATGCATTTAATAAATAATTAAAAAAAAAAATAAGTACCGGGCTGTCGTCTCCTAATTCGCTATCCCGTTCGTGAGGGTCCATCTCCATGGCATACACCGGCACGGGTTCCCTGTTTTTGACGCGAATTTTGACAAACTGTCTAGCAGAATGCGTATTTACGCACTCTGCATGCACATCAATCCGGAAATATTGTCCGTACGACGACACACGTGTCCGCCTTTCTCTCTTAAACAACAACACGAAAATAGAAACAATTAACACACGAATTACCGCGCACTAAACAATAGCAACAACAACGATGAGTGCACACGGGGAAGATGGCAGTTTCGTAAATAATAATAATATAAAAGACGCACAATAAGTTCAATTCACCGGCGGTCAACAATCATCAAATATAAACGTAACGTAACGAACCTTGATTTTACACTACTAAAATACTACTACTGCACGGCGACGGGTCAACGTGGCGCACGCAAAACGTTCGATCGCAGATGGCTCAGCACACAAACGTACGCTAGTCTGAAGCGAACCAATCGAATGATCAGGAGGAGCCTGCAAGTGGAGGGGCGGTACTCCAACGAGGATAATATAAAATGATTATGCTTTATTGTTGCACGTTATCCAATCCCGTTGGAGAACGGGAATTTTATTAATAAATGGGAACGCTACAATATCGTTACGCGTTAATTAAACCAAGAATTATGCCTGTACGATTGTTAAATTATTATTCAAACTATGTATACGTGTTGTATGCGCTTATTTTTCTGATAACAATAATCAATATCAATTTGAATTATTAGGTAGGTAGGTACTAATTGTAAATAACTGAAAATAGGTACGTGAAATCCTATCTAATATAAATTTATTATTAGATAAAGTTAATTTTTGAATGTTAAATTTTATAATATGCCCATTACTTTTAACATCAATATCTAAACTTATAGGTATCATTTTTATCATACAGTTAAATATAGGCAAGTACGTTTCTTATCACTAGTAAATATTTTCTTTTGTTTTTGTACCTAAAGTATATTTACCAAAATAAATTTTTTTAATTTTTGTCACCCCATTTATTAATGTTCTGGTTACGCTTATGGTGGATGGACTTAACTTTACGCACTGTACAAAATTGAGACTTCATTATACATTATGCCTATTTTAGAATAAAGTACCAGGTCGCAGTGGCGTAGCGAGAGTTTGCGAAAGGGGGGTAGGGAAAAAAATGTTGAAAATCCAAAAGCAATCATTGTTTCTTGCCTTTGAAAAAACCAATCAATTGGGAAATATATTGCTTGTTGTTTCTATTACCTTATTTAGTACTGATAGCATTTCGTATTCATAACTGTAACATATTTAAAAATGCTCTAATCATGGAGGGGAGTTTTGACCCCCCGGACCCCCCCCCCCATTACTACTCATTAGTAGGTTAACTGTTTGAGGTTTGAAACGGTTTTCAGTGTATGGGTACATCACAGGGAGAATGTTAATTCGTATTGATGTAGGAGAAAAAGAAAATCAACCATTAATAGAACGAAACGAAAACATGTTTTACATTTTTATGTATATAATAAGAACAATACCTCAATGTTTTATATACAGAACATCAATTTAGACAGGTATCATCTCTCATCTGGGACAAAAATCGTTTTGAAGCAATTTGGTAGTAAAAATGTCATGTTAATCGGTGATATGCAACCCAATATACATCTTGCGCATTAATGCTATATAGAATACCCGAGTAAACCTTTACATATGTCTATTCTATATCTTTAATTATTTAGAAGAACCTTTGCCCAAACCTTAACCAACGGTTATTATTTATTATTGATTAAATGCTGATACATTTAGATTTAAATTTAATACCATTGTTACGAATTGTTTATCATACAAAAAAAANGGGCGATGCAACTTGACCATCAAGAAATAATTCAGAGTAGGTACCCCTAATATACAAAAATGGACTATTTAACGTCTAAAAAATGCGTATACAAATTTAAATACAATTTTTTATGAATGCTACTGCTCGTTTCATATTTCGAGAAATGAATATGTCTATCAATTTTTCGAGATCTATTCAACATCATGATAAATACCTGCGCAACATAGCATAACGATTCAGTCTTATTTGACCCACTGTTGGTCGAATGCAACTTTTAAGACGCTTTAGTATTGAAAAGGTTCGTTCGTTGGTGCAGGAAAAACTGGAAATCGTCATGAAAACAGAACGAATTTAGAGAATAAATGTTTTCTTTTTTTCGCTAAAACTCGACAATGCCTTTTATTGTCTAGTTATGTTGAAAGTTATATTGTCAACTAAATAAATGAATTTTGTTGAGATTTATAGTGTTGTAAAAAATAATTATTAGAGAAGGATTAAAAAATCGAGTCAAAACCAGGACCGAACTCTTGGTTGGTTCATTATTTTAAGTCTGCCCGGGTAAAATTTTAGACAAAAACTAGATAGGTGTGTGCATATATATTTATATGTACGATTTTTGGGACTAAACTCGAAAAACTAGAAAATAAGGTCTATCGTATGGTGAAAGAATAAGAAACTTTTCTGAAACAGAAACTTATAACACAATTGCAATAATCGTAATTTGATGCTAGAGTGTGTCCAGCGAAGTGGCTATCAAATATATTCCAAGAAAAGTAGTAACAAAGGAAAATGAATAACGAAGTTATGGTGAAAAGAAATATTACGTGATTATGATTACCTATTACTAATTCTTGTTTTTAATTTTTCATTTTGTATTATATTCCATTCATAAATTTTGCTCACTTTATTTGAAGAAAAACAATAAAAATTCATACAGATATACTGGATTATTATTTAATACTTTTGACAATATTCATTTTACCAATGATATTCTTAAATGTTATAGCAACATTATTTTCATTAATTTTGGTTCTATGTATTAATAGTAATAATAGTAATATGAATTTACTAATTGTAAGAAAATGTTTTAAGAAATAAAGAGCATTAGGATAATACAGATGCGGGATTGGTTTTTCATAAGGAGCTAACTAGAAATTTTAATTTTGATTTTCAGTAAAGTTTCACTTTTTTAGGCCCTAATTTGGCCCGGATTAGGTCCCTAAATCGGGCACTTCTAATTAGTTACGAACAAGGAAACTACTAGTGGGGAGTGTCATAAGAAAAATCAACACTAATACCTCTGTTACTTCAGCCACACCGAGTGGTCGGCGAAAATTATGGAAAAAAGGACTGGAAAACATTCATGCGGACTATTTCTATATTGTCTGGAGGTGTACAGACTCAAAACACCGCGAATAATACCTAACTAATCTGCTGTTATTATGGATTAACAAAATTATGCCACAGCAATTTGCATAGAAGCTCTAAGTGCGTTATAAACGTCAAATTCATAATTAAAATACGAGGGTGGATTGATAAGTTTCCGGCCTGACCAAGAAAAACAAGGTTTTTAAAAATTTTTTTTTTTTATTTCTCAACATAATCTCCTCCAAGGCTGATACATTTCTCATAGCGGTGTTCCAGTCTATTAATGCCATCTCTATAGACTGATTCGTCAAGCTCCT